GAATCACTGCGCCTACTCTGTGCAGGAGTCCTGTTGCATTTACAATAGATAGTTTAACACAAGGGAACCTAAAAACTGCTCTAACATCTCACAGCGGGTCACCAACTTAATTATATGAAACAGTACAGACTACATAGACAAATAGTGATTCTAATTATGAATAATGGTCCTTTCTGCAGAGCTTTGGGGCTTTAGCAACATTAAAAGATTTAGAGAATATTGATAAAGGGCAAATAGAAGGATCAGTGAGTGGTCATGCTCATTGGTCCCTTATGCAGCTTTAATTTCACTAACAGTATAACTCGTTTAAGTCCATGCATTGAGCAAATTCTTTGCTAAAAGATAATAACGTAAAGTCTAAGCTTTAGTAGAGAACACAGGCATTAAAATCCAGTAGTAATATTACTTAAATGACTATTCAAATGGAGCAAGTGTTAGATAAAACAAGTGCAGATTTGCAGCGTGTTAGGTCTTTAAGGAAGAGTGAGTGCTCACTGACAAACTGGGAGGCTTGTTCAACCAGCAAGATACCCACATGAGACAAAATCCTCTGCACTGGTCTCTGGTATGGAAGGAACCGGCTATTTTTCTCAAATAGATCACTGGTAATAAAGGAGCTTATATTTGGGAAGCGTATTATTATGATTCCTTAACATCTGCAGGGAAACATCATGGGCAGACATATTTTCTTTTGAGGATTAAGGAACAGCACTATGTCTCAAAAATATTCTCTAACCTCTAAATAAATATGACATCCACAGTGTCCCCGCAATTACACATCAGATTTCAAAGGAAATTAGTTTCCGTAATTCTAAATTACCTTTCTTTTTGTATTCTAACCCTCAGAACCCACAAAGGGTAACTAAGTAATAACTAAAATCCAAGTTTCTGCATTCAATCCAATAGTTTGTTAAGTGCCGTTACAGAAAAAAACTAAAGTTTGGACTTATAAAATTGTCAAGGTATGAACTCCTCTTGGGAGATCTAATCATAATCTTGTTTTTCTCTGCTCAGAGTATGTGCCTCTTTATAACAGGCAACCTGCATTAAAGATAACTCGAGGAAGAGGGTTACAGGAAGCCGAAGGAGCCGTGCAAGGGTGTTTTAAGCGTACAGACTGTGATGCACTGTGCCAGCCACATGGGGAGTATATCAATGCAATGGCTTATTGTGTGACAAACTATATGAACTTTAATGTAGATGACAGAATTCCAACCAAAACATTGAGATGCTTTTACTATAATAAACCCTGGATCTGAGGGAACTTCTAAACAAAAAAGAAAGAGTCTTAAGGAAGGTAGAGGATTTCTCAGGAGTACACAGATTTAACTTAAGATCAAGATAAGGAAAACAGAGAAGGCATACAGGAAGAATATGTAAAGCAACCTCCAGCAGAAAAATATCAGAAATGCATGGTCAGAGATGAAGAACATCAGAGGCTTCAATCAAAAGCAGGATCAGAAATTTCCAAGTTTAAAAAGAGCCAAATAATTATACTTATTCCCAAATAGGTTCAGTTCAGGAGCAAGCTCAGCATCCCTCTGTCATATATAAAGTCCAATGGACATTCCCCCCACATTTGAAACGTTGTATTTTCCTGAGAAGATGAAAAATTTGCCATGAACCATCCTACCGTTATGTGTTTCTTCATGGCCAAATCAGAAGATGGTTAAGCTCCCTCCCCTTTCAACCTTTCTGTTTTTAGAATTGACAGTTCAGGACCAGGCCTGCTTTCAGGCTTCTACAGCACCTCTTCAAACTTAACCTGAACCAGGACAGGATTCCTGTGATGCAGAAGACCTTCTGCCTTGATCAGACTCAGAGGAAAACTTAGCAAAAACCCTCAATTGACTGTAGACCTTTTGCCCTTGCATCACACATGATGAAGGTGTTAGAGTGACTCATGTTGAACCAGCTGAGCAAGCAAACAAATCAGCTATCAGGACCCCTGCAGTTTGCCTATTGCTTTGGAGTTAGAGTTGAAGATTCCATGATACATCTGCTTTAATAAACCCTCTGTTATTTAGACAAGGCAGATAGCACAGTAAGAGTTACATTATTTAATTTTTCCAGTGCATTTACACCGTTCAGCATGATTTGCTTCACTACCTGACAAACAGACCATAATTTGTCATACTGAAAGTAAAGAAAACTACTCAAACAGCTGGTTAGCTGCAAAGGAGCACCAAAGGGGATGGTACTCTTATCATTCATTTATACTCTTTACACCTCTGACCTTCTTTACAAGACACTGTTATCTGTAGAAATACGGTACTTGAATGAATTGACTGACCGATCCTGAATGTCAACAAAACAAGGGAGATAATTGTAGATTTCAGATGAAAAAAGAAAAAGTTGAAAACTATTAACATCATTGGAGAAGAAATGAAGGTGGCGGAGGAGAAAGTATCTTAGATTTCCCAAAGAGAATAGACACAACTAGGACCCAACTAGGAAGCTGTCTACAAGAAGGGACATATGCTTACTGCCCCCATAGGGATTGATCCTAAAGCACTGGACATATTAAGCAGGTACAGAAAATGAATAGATATATTATGTAAAGATTTATATAGACTTGTAAACCTCCAGATGACCTTTTCTTTAGATCATTAAGCAAAACTTAAAAATGGACAAAACCAATGAACAAATAAACAAAATAAAAAATCCATCTGCCATGAAGGAGGAGGCTATAGGTCAGCAATGTCATAAAGGGTGAAGTAGATGGACCAAGCTACAGACTGGAACATAGATGTAGCATAGTGAGGCTTTTAATAATAAAATAAACTTACAGCACACAAGGATTTCAAGAATCAAGAGGAGTTTGATTGAAGAAAAAGTAAAACAAACAAGAAAACAGAAACTCCATTAGCATTTAAACGTGTGTAACGGCTAAAATTGAATAAACCAAAAGTTGGATGTTTTTTTAGTGAGTTAAGTCAAATCTTTGTGTAGAGAAAATATATCTATCCATAGACTGTATTTATTGTTAGATTGCTGAATATCTCTGTGATAATGTGCAGACATATTTTATTTTTAACCTCTGTTAATTTTGTGTCACTGGCTTTTCTCAGAAGCTGCATTTTTAGTGACAGGTTTTAATAAAGGTGCAATTCAGCTTAGATTTAATGTATTCCTGGACTGTGTGTGCATGTGTGTGTTTTGGTGTGTGTGTTTGTGTGTGAGATATAGAATGTAACTGGGTTAATTCAAAGAGTAATGTGGGGTCTGTATTGCTGGAGGCATATGCCATGCATCCCACGTGCCTGACTTCCAAATGAATCAAGGCTTTTCCACAGTGTTGATGCCACTAGCGAAGAGCATAGTGCTTTTTCAAACACTAAATATTACATCAAATAAGCCTGGCTGTGTCTCTGCCTGGTGTCAGTAGAGAGAGTAGAATCAGTTTTTCAGTCTTGCAAAAACCTGTATTGCTGATTGTAAAAGTCTACACCCGGGTTTCTATATTTAGATACCGGTCTGGTTGGAAATATTTTGCACATACATTTTGATGCCATCAAAGTTGGCTTGCTTGCAGCTGATAAACATTTATATTCAGGTTCATGTCTCTGCAAACAACAAAAGAATATTGAGTGGTATCTAAATGTGTTACTTGTTTGCATAAGTACGGAATGATATATTGCATTGTGTGTGAGGTCTTATTGTCCTTGAAACACTGAGTATCAGCAAATACTTTGAAAACCTGTTGACAAGTGCTTATGTTTAAACAGATTAGAATGATTTCTCTTCAATGCAATGTGTGCAATTCATATGATGAATCCAAGAGTGTATGGTTAAACTAATCTATGGTAACAGAAAAAAATGCATCTTATGTATATTTCCTAAATAATAAACCTGGACCCCTGTTCCAGTCAGACTCAGTTAAGTTTTATTATTTATTCAGTAAGTTTTGACTCAATTCAGTAGATTTTAAATATTTTTTCTTATAGATTACCATTTTTAACAAATATCATCTCAAGGCAGTTTAAAACACACAATGATTTGTTTCCTATCCAGCAATTCAAAAACAATCAATAAATATTCTTATTCATACTTATTTAGCATAAAGTTAATTAAAATAAAAAACAACAAATCAAAAACAACTTTGACATATTAACTTTACAGAAGTCTCTTACTGTCAACAAGCATAAAATGACAAGATAGTTGACTGCATCAAATGTTTTTAACTTATTAGCGTAACATTTTAATGAGTAACTTGAAAAAGGAAAGTAAAAAATATATATATATATAAAAGAGAGCATCTGTTAATATCACTGTTTATAGTAAATTGGGGATGATGAACTGAAGTTGGATGGGACACTTGGGAAAATATCAGGGATGCTACCTGATCCCCTTATTAAGAAAATACCAAAGTTACACACTTTGTATAAGGTGTCTTTAATTGGACAAATCATAAAAGGACTGCATAAACTAAAGCATCATACATGTTTTTATTTAGATTTTGTAAGTCAATAATAGTACTGAAATACCAAAAGGTTTGATTATTGGGACCCTATGACCTTTTGTTTCATGTTTATTTGATTTCGTGCAACATATAAACTGGGTCAAAAAGCACAACATTAATACCCAAGTGTTGCAATACCAGACAAATGTAATCAAGGAACAGTTGTTTTGCTTTGTTGGCTCTAGAAAGTCAGTGCCGTTTTGAGTAAGCATTCCTCGCTTTTAGGGCCAAAACATCCTAATCCTGAGCTTCTTTCTGTCACACTCTGCACATTATGCTGCATCAAGCTAGTGCTTCTGTTTTTGTGGATATGTCTAATAGGACTTAATCAGATCAGGTTCTCTGGAGGTACCATTTTGGTTACAGAGAATCGTAATGGCCAAAGTAATGTTAAATTACTGTAAATTCTTGGTTTATGTTTTGTAAAGCATTAGTTTGATTATCAGGATGATTAGGATTAAGTATTGTGGTTTGTTAGTTAATTTCAGTACCTAATGATAGCTACGTAATGTAATTTTTTAAAATCTTCTTTTAACAGATTGAGAAGATCATGACGTTGATTGGGGCTGGCATTGAAACAACCAAAAACAAACACCACACACCAAGCTCAGGTAAATATTTTCTTTTTTTAATGAGCAGGTTCTTTGTTTGCTCTAATGTGTAATTACCAAATTGTAATTACCTGTCTGTCAACTAAGAACTGAACCAATTTAGCTTAATTGTTTTCCATTGTGTCCATCATGACATAACATTCAACTGTACTGACTATAGCTCCTAAATACAGAAGTTTATATGTATCACCTTTAAGATATTTGCTGTGGTTGAAAGGATAACTGAAAATAACTCAAGAGGTCTTTGTTGTTTTTTTCTCCTTAAAATATCTAAATTTGCTGATAAACTGAATTTTATTTATCTTTGTAACAATCTTAGATATTGGTCTACAATCACTTATCATTAAGGTGTCCAGTTCAGACATCTTGATGCTCCTTGATAGCAGGAATTATTTTGTGCCCTCTGCCATCAAGGAGGTGAACAAGTAGTAAATGTCACTTGGTCTTTTCTGCTTCCCTTCCCTTGATGAAGTGAATCTGCTAGTGCTGCTGTGTCTGCAATTAACTTTTTTTTATAATTGTATTATTCTATTAATGTTTTTTTACATTGTTGCCAGCAAGCCAAAAACAAATTTCTGCCATCATTATGTATAGTAGGCAACAAAGTTTTTTTTTCTACTCTATTATAGAAAAGGTTACAGAGGTCTAAACTGGACAGTGGTTCGGTCAGTCAAAGGTGGCTTCATTTGACTAATAGGTAGGTTTCATCTGAAAATGCTGAAAATGCTTAAATGTCTGAAGGGTCCTCCGTTAGGATACTTATTGGAATCAGACAGCAAATAAAACAGTGTAATTTCTGCTACTGAAATGGGTGCACCTCTGAGAGTTGAATCATTATGAAAGACTGATCAACTCAGAAGTGGATTCTGAGTAACATAAAGGGTATGTCACTTTAGACAGCAAATTAGCAATGGATTAGGCCACCTTTTTCTTGAACATATTCAAACACATCTTTAGACATCAGAGACTGAAGAGATGTAGAAATAAAAACATACTTATAGATGAAAGGTTGAATTCAGGTTGTGTGTATATTCCTTTCTCTAATATACCTAAACATCATCAAACTAGAGGGAAATGTGGGCTTATTTTCCAGTATTTAAGTGGACATTTTAATAGCTAGATGGTAGGCCTATTGTTTTTCTGACTCTGGGAATTAAGCTGACTTTCATCTGAATGTTCATTGTTTCCATTTTTATCTCACAAGTTTTCCCTTTATGAAAAATACATCATTTTAAATTCTGCTCTGTCAGTTTCTTCCTAGTTGATTTATATTTTAATAGTTCTAAGTTTGATAGTGGGCTTCAGCGAGTGTCCTTCAGGCGGCACAGAGGGAGAGGCCAGCTGGCACCAGCTTGGTGTGTTTAGGTAACACAGTTAGCTACCTCCATTAGATACTTTCCTATAAGAAGGGTTCATCTTATTATGTAACAGCTTTTCTCAGTGCAGGACAGGTTTTTACACAGATTGGTTTGGATAAAAGTTTCATCAGTTATGCACTGTGTGATTCCTGGGTCACACTAATGCATGGGATGCCTCAAGACAGCAAGAAACAGCAACAGAAAATAGAGTCACTAAAAATAGGATAACCAATACACAGAGAATCGGTGTGTTTTAGTGAATCATAAATAAGGATTTTATCATCAGGTAGAGGTCTGAGGTTTATCAAATTCCTATATAAATTTATATCTTTTCTTTTTCATACCTTTTAATGAACACTAACTGTATTGTTTAGGGTCTCTGTCCTACTGTTGAACTGGTTTTAATCTAGATTTAGGTGTTAGATTTAATAACTTATTTGTCTCTTTAAAACAGGTTGCTATACTAATAACTGAATTCACCACGTTTGTATTTGGTGGTTCTGTTGATTGCTGGTCTTTGTTGTTTGTTCAACAATTATGATGTTGGTTGTAATAATCAAAGGACTGGTTTTCCAAAGTGCTGTGATTTATTCCAAAACAACCTTGCACTGCCATAGTTTTTTAAGAGGAGAAAAACAATCTCTTTACTGCTTTCCCTTCCAATTTAGCCATATTTGACTCACCCAAAGGTTGAATTTGTTGTTGCAAAGACTCAAGAAAGATTTGCAAATGGCTTGAATGTCTTCACTTTATGAGAAAATGCGTCAACAATTTCAACTACTGAATTATACATTTAGAAAATGGCCTATTGAGATTAGTAGGCCACAATATTTCTCCACTAATAGATGCTGATAAAGATTCTCAGTCATCCATGTCATAGTCATTCCGTAAAAGTTCAAAGAAATCCACTGGACTTGGTTTTCAAGATTTGAAGACGTTTTGCCAACTCTCCAGGAAGCTTTCTCAATTCTAAACTTTTACGGAATCCACTAATAGATGTTGTATTTGTAGGGGTCAGAGTGCTAAAGTCTATTTGTATGGTTAAGACCAGCAATCTTGCAAGAAAATTCGTCTTTGAGTTATTTGCAGTTGGTAATAAATACATTTGCACAGAAAATACAGGTACTATTGTTTTCTCTTAAATTTGTTCCAAATTGAAGGATGTTTTTCAATAACTGTTGTAATGTCCTCAAACTATTTTAAATATCTTAAGATTGTAAACAAATCAGTTTCTCGATTTTACAAAATCATCTTTTAAGATCAAAATAATGGGATCCCGATATGTTATTAAGAATGACTCTTAAGCAGGCACAACCCCAGACTTTGAAACAGTTTTTAATAGTTAATTGAAAATGCTGAGAGGGTAATAGGGTTAGCAAGGACTTGGATGGTGAGTCTCTGAAGGGAAAAAGGTGTGAATTAACAGATGAAGGTATGAAATGGTTTGTTGTTTAGGGAGAATGATGGCTTACAGTTACAGAAGGTGGGCAACATCCAAGAGGGACTGTGCTAGGTCTGCAGGGGAGGAGAGATGATGAAAAGTGGTGGAAAGACGACAATGGTGATGTGTTGGAAGGTGGAAAGGCTGTAGATGGGATTGCTGAAACACAGATCTGATCTCATGAATGCAGTGTTACAGAGCCAGAAACCCAGCTGGGTAGAGGCAGACCAAACCTTTCCAGAGGGCCGGCATGAGATGACAGTCCAGGATATCGAGGCTTATTGTAAGCGATGCAGTGATTGCTGGTGTTGAGCTGGATCCAGTCAGCCTGAGGAGGGAACACCCCACCACAAACACCAGCCTGCAGGCCTAAAAGGGTCTAACCATTGAAGCCACCCAGCGGAGGACCAGAGGAGGAAGACTTCTCAAAATCAGGATTAAGAGACGGGTCCAACAAAGAACAAAGGACCAAAGAGGCTTATCGACAATCCAGCGAGATAAACCCCAGGATGGCAGTAAAAGGGTGAAGAAAGAGCCCACTGAGAGCGGACTGAGGATGGGACGTAACTGCAATTGGGTCATCCATCCCCCCAGATCGGGTTGGGTAGTCAGGGCTTGCTGAATGGATCTTTCAAGCTCTCAGGTGAGGGACACAACAACACATGAAGGGGGGAAGGATAGTGAGGATGGAATATGTTGCATTGTCAGGGACCTGAAGCCTTTAAAGGGCATCAGTTTTGGGATCCTTAAAACCTGGACGATATGTGATGGAAAGATAACGGGAGAAATACAGAGACCAACAATATTTACATGGGTTGAGACATTTACTCATTTGGATGTATGCCAATTTGTTGTGTTAAGTCCAAATGATTATTGGGAGCTGTGTACCTTCAAGGCAATGACTTCATTCTTCCAGGACAAGTTTTATGACTAGAAGCTCTTGATCACCTACATCATCATTAACTTCAGTGAGAGTTCATATTTTTAGAAAGGAAGATTTTTGGGGTGAAGCTTGTTGTCAACTGAGGATCTTTGAGAAAGCGGCGCGCCAACACCAATATAGGAAAAATTTACTTCCAAGGTGAACTGGGCCGCAGGATCTTGATGAACAAGAACGGGAGAATCAAAAAACCTTTTCTTCAGCTCGTCAAAAGCCTGGTTTGCTTTGGGAGTCCAAAGGATAGTCGCTTTAGCTGAGGTAAGAGCAGTTAAAAGAGCGGCAATGTAACTGTACCCTCTGATGAATCACTAGCAAATGTTTGTGAAGCCTAGATACCGTTGGAGTTGTTTTCAGGAGTCAGGGAGGGGCCACTCTTGGTCTTCCTTGATTTTGGTCCATCTGCACCTGTCCACCCTCAAAAACATAACACAGAAAAGGAGGACACACAAAATCCACCTGTCTCTGCTTTTACAAAAAGATGATTTTCTAATAGCCTCTGGAGGACCACTTGGACATGGGTCTGTTGTTCTTCCAGGTAATCTTAAAAAGGAGAATATCACCCAGGTAGCAGTACACAAAGATGGTTAGAAAGTTTCTGGAGACATCATAGGTCAAATGCAGGAAGACGGCAGGGGCATTACAGAGGCTAAAGGGCAGGTACCCAAAATGAACAATGGGTTTTGAAGGTGGTCTTCCACTAAACACCTGCTTGGATGCGGACCAAATGGTAAGCATTACAAAGTTCAAAGTAAAATTTGCTATTTCTAAAACTGGGATCTGTTCAATAAAGATTCAATGATTTAAACAATCAAACGATTTTTATTTAAAATCTTGCACCATCAATAAGAGGTCTATACTTAAAGTACTGCTTATTATTTACGCTGTAGGAAAGAAATTATTAAATAACTAAATAAAATGTATCTATGGTCTAACATTTACAAATAATGCTGAATGTATCGATCCCTAAAATTGCTGTTTGAAGACAAATTTAGATTTTTTTGTCCCTTTAATTTCAGAAGAGTTTGCAGGGAAAGGTGTGCAGGAACCAAAGCTTTAAACTAGCTTTGTTCTTTAAGTACCAGAATATATCACTACTGGAAAGAAATCTATTATATTAGTCCCTCATTATTTTCCTCTCAGAGAATCCTCTTGTGTTCCTGCTTAGGTCATTTCATCTCCTCTATCTCTCTCTTGGCTAAAGGTATAGTTAGCTTTGTCTCCAACAGAGGAAAGGATTGCCACAGGGCAATATGAAATAGAA